ACCGCCCTGCCCCCACCACACCTAGCATCCCACACACACTATAACCTCCCCAACACTCTGCTCCTTCAGCCTTGCTACCACTGAGGAGGTCACTAAGGTCTTCTCAGAAGCCCACCTCACCACTTGCCGCCTCGACTCTGTCCCCCTCACAACTCCTCCGGGCACCTTCCACCTCCAGCCTACGCTCCCTCACCAACATCTTCAATCTCTCCCTCTCTACTGGCGCATTCCCCTCCCCCCTAAAGCATGCGCACATCACCCCCATACTCAAAAGAACACTCCCTGGACCCCACCGACCTGAACAACCTTAGACCCATCTCCCTGCTGCCATTTACATCCAAGCTCCTTGAGCGCTTAGTCTATAATCGCCTAAGCTCCCACCTCACTGACAACAACCTCCTCGATCCACTACAGTCTGGCTTGCGTCCCCTACACTCCACCGAAACCGCCCTACTTAAAATCACTAACGACCTGCTAACCACCAAAGCTAATGGACACTACTCTGTCCTCCTACTCCTCGACTTCTCCGCGACCTTCAACACAGTTGATCACCCTCTCCTCCTTAATAAACTACACTCCCTTGGCATCAGAGACTCCGCTCTCTCCTGGCTCTCCTCCTATCTATCCCAACGCTCCTTCAGCGTTACCTATAACGCTGCCACCTCTCCCTCTCTCCCCTCTCTGTTGGGGTCCCCCAAGGCTCTATCTTCGGGCCCATTCTCTTCTCCATCTACACCTCATCCCTCGGCAAACTGATACACTCCCACGGCTTCAACTATCACCTCTACACCAATGACACGCAAATTTACCTCTCCATCCCTCACCTCACCCCTTTAGTCTCCGCCCGAATCACCCACCTACTGAACGACATATCAGACTGGATGTCGCTCCATTTCCCCAAATTGAACCAGCTCCTAATTTTCCCCCCAGCCCGTGCCCCCCCATCCTCTCCATCACGACCAACAACTCCACCATCAGTCCCACCCCGCAAGCCAAAGTCCTAGGTGTCACCCTAGACTCAAACCTGTCCTTCCAACCCCATGTCCAATCGCTGGCAAACTCATGCAGGCTCCACCTCCGCAACATCTCCAAAATACGTCCGTTCCTAACCCCAGACACTGCTAAACAACTCGTTCACTCCCTTATTATCTCACGCCTGGACTACTACAACTCCTTTCTCACCGGCCTACCCCAACACAGGCTATCCCCGCTTCAGTCAATCCTGAACTCAGCGGCCAGACTCATCCACCTTACCAACCGCTTCTCTTCTGCCACCCCCCTCTGTCATTCCCTCCACTGGCTCCCGATTGCCTCAACGCATTAAATTCAAACTACTAACACTGACATACAAAGCCATTCATAATGCCTCCCCAAACTACCTCACCGACCTGATACCCAAATACCACCCAACCCGTACTCTTCGCTCCTCACAAGACCTCCTACTTTCTAGCTCCCTGGTCTTCTCCACCCACGCCCGACTGCAGGACTTCTCCAGGACTTCCCCCATCCTCTGAAACTCCCTACCCCAATCCATCAGACTGTCACCTACCCTCCTCACCTTTAGGCGCACCCTGAATACCCATCTCTTCAGGGAAGCCTACCCCGCCCTCACCTAACAGCCGATCTCCTCCACTCCTCCTACCACTCCATCCCCCACAGCCACTTCCTCCTGTACCACTACCCCCTCCCTCCTAGATTGTAAGCTCTAAAGAGCAGGGCCCTCGTACCCCTCGTGTATTGTTTTGTTACTGTATTGTCTCATGTTCTGTCCCCGACTATAATGTACAGTGCTGAGCAAACCTTCTAGCGCTATATAAATACTGTATAATAATAATAATTCATAATGAATGGCACCACAGCACACCAATATGGTTAATGTCAATAAATCAATGTCTTTGCCAAGTGATCAGTAGTGGAAACCTGGTTATTTCAGGTGCTTATATAGCGCCACCAATTTACGCAGCGCTTTACATATATATTGTACATTCACATCAGTCCCTAACCCTCAAGGGGTGTACAATCTAAGGTCCCTAAGTTACATTCATGTGTACATACTAGGGCCAATTTTAGACAGGATCCAATTAACCTACCAGGACGTTTTTTGGAGTGTGGGAGGAAACTGGAGTACCCGGAGGAAACCCACGCAGGCACAGGAAGAACATGCAAACTCCAGGCAGGTGGTGCCGTGGCTGGGATTCGAACCAACAACCCTAGTACTGCCAGGTGGAAGTGCTAACCATATAGCCACTGTGCTGCCCATTCTGGGGATGCTGTTCAGACATAGTTGATGGGTACAAGGTGTGTGTGTGCGCTAATGAGGTCAGCTGGTGAACTGCTTCCTGTGTCTTATTGGTTTTCATGTCCCAAATCTAGGAAGTCATGAGGTCAGAGAGGGACTAAGGTAAGGCCTTGATCTAAAAATCAAAGAGAACTTTTATTTTTCTGCAACAGAGGTACATGAATGGTAGTTAGTACAGTATATTAGGGGAACTAGAATTTAGAAAAAAATGTGAACTTGTCCTTTAAAGAGCTTATTCCCAGTATAAGGCCTAAAGAAGTGAAACTGCAACAAGGAGAACACCACTGGATAGAAAAGTTTTAAACTAACCTACTAACGTCTTCATTTTCTGTCACTGTACAGGAAAGATCATTGTATATTCTGTGTTCAAGGGAAACTATGGGATGTTTTCAATAGGCATGCATTTTAAGTCGTAAGATTTTCATAATCCTAGTTTTAAAGTAACTTTCACATATTTACATTGAAGCTTTTTATTTATTTATTTATAATTTGATAGCTTTTAACTAGTTGCCGACCGCAGATAGCTGAATGATGGCCGGCCAGTTCTGGGAGGCTGTCATATGACGTCCTCCCAGAACGCGCTCTCCTGAGTGCCCCCGGGGATCTCCATGATCGCTGTGTCCTACGGACAAAGCTGATCACGTGATGTGGTAAAAAGCCAATCACAGCAGCCTTTTACCACATGATCAGCCATGTCCATTGTCACGCTGATCACCGGGAAATGCAATTGCTGTCAGAGCATGAGGAAAGTACTGCCGAGAACCGGCAGTTGTCTTGTCAGAACAGGTATCGGCACCGATCATCAGGGCAGTGATGATCATCATGATCGGTGCCCATCAGTGCCGCCCACCAGTGCCCATCAGTGCCGCCTATCAGTGCTGCCAGTTAGTGCCCATCAGTGCCGCCTATCAGTGCTGCCAGTTAGTGCCCAGCAGTGCTGCCTATCAGTGCCGACTATCAGTGTTGCTTATCAGTGCAGCCTCATCTACGCACATCAGTGAAGGATAAAAATTACTTGTTTACAAAATTTTATAATGGAAACAAAGAAACTTTTTTTTTTTTTTTTTCAGATTTTTTGCTCTTTTTTTTGCTTATAGCACAAAAAGTAAAACACCCAGAGACAAGTAAATACCACCAAAAGAAAGCTCTATTTGTGAGTAAAAAATGATAAAAATCTCGTATGGGTACAGTGTTGCATGACTGCGCAATTGTCATTCAAAGTGCGACAGCGCTGAAAGCTGACAATTGGCGTGGTAAGGAAGGGGGTATAAGTGCCCCATAGGCTAGTGATTAACCCCTTCCCGCCGGCGCCTCCCGGCCCTTTAAGAGTTTCAGACGCCGGGAGGCGGGGCGGGTAGGGCGTGGTTTAGGAATCAGGTGACCGCCGTGACGCGTCATCGACGGTCAAAAGAAAGTTCCCGATCGAAAGAGCGGACCGGGACCTTTCCGTGAGTACCACACATGTGTGCTGGAGCGCGCAGGGCGCGCACTCTCAGCACATATGTTTTTTGCTAGATGAACACAAATGTGCGGCTGCTCAGCGTCTAGACCCAGACACCGGGAGGCCACACATTTGTAGTTTTTGTAGATTTATAGTTTCCAGCAATAATGCTGGGTAATGATCATAAGGGGAAGATGGAGGTTTAGGGGGAAAGTTGGGTATTACCTGGACATACAGGTGAGGCTATCTATATATTAAACCGAATGCTTGAATTGTAAATCCAGGCATTACTCAAATGCGCCCCTGAAACTCTCTCTCCCCTCCAGAATATTTTTGTTTCTTTTTCCTTCTTGCTGTAGCAAAACGCAGCTTTTATCACTCCTTGTGACATCATCCGTTTCTTATGGATCACATTTATCTGTATACCTAAGATGTTGCAGGGGTTGTAAACCCTTACATATACCCAGTGAAGTGGCTGATACACAGAGATGAAACAAATTCTCCTATATAAGTTGCACCTGTTTATCTGCAGCAATCTGTCCCCTACGTCCATTCAAAGTGCAGAATTTACACAGGATCTCTGAGCTTTGAAAAGCAGGGGGTGTGGAACTGAAGTTACATCAGTGAGGAGAGCTCTTAAGAGCTGATTAGTGGGAAGTGACACACCCCCTTTCACATAGCATACAGGAACAGAGTTGAGGTTGTCAGTCACAGGCTGTGCCCTCCCCTGTCACCATTTTTCTCTTGGTGTCAGGAAAATGCGTCTGAAACTACTAATGCTGATAGCAGAGGAAAGAAGCAGCAAACCGAAATGACACTTAGTGCTCTAATTAAGACAAGTACACACTATAGAGGGATATGCTTTGTTCATATTTCATGTCTGTGGTTTACAATCAACTTTAGAATGCTATAGTTTTCCTTTAGCTCTGCCACTAATCGCCTTCCCTTTGATAACTGCTAATTGCTCTCCCCCCTCTCTGAGTGACTTCTCTTCTCTCTGGCAGTGAGTACACTCCTCACCGTGCTCCCACCTCCCACCCTCAGGTGCCGACAGTTCAACGTGTCCGGGAAACATCTTACAGCTCTGAAAGGTGAGATCTGGGAGAAAAGGGCGCAGTGACCAGGAGTAGGTGATACAGCTGCCCTCACCCTCCCTCCATCTTTCTTCCTCTCTCAGTGCTCAACACCTCCTCTCAGGACGACCTCTGTATTCGGGATGTACGGATACTCCCCAATTTCAACGCCAGTTACCTTCCTGTCATGCCGGACGGTTCCGTACTGCTGGTGGACAACGTCTGGTAAGTGAGAACAACAAGTTTATGTGTTCACACCATACAAATCTTTGCTACTTTTTGTGAAAAGAGAACCAGTAAATACTGGACTTGTGCAAGAATCTGAATCCTGACCCTGATTTATGGGAGGAGGAGAGCGTGTTCACTTTTAGGGCTCATGTACACGGGACGTTTGGAAAACTCTTCTGAACGATAGAAACCGACTGCTGGAAAACGTAGGTTAAAAAATGTCAGTTTAGCCGCGTTTGCTTACCGCGTTTATGTGCGTTTAGAAGCGTTTTTAAAAGAAAATCTCAGGAGACCCTTCCAAATGCCCAGAATTCACTGAAAAATAATTCAGGTTTTAAGCCCTAAGATGGGTTGGTTACATTGGTTTCATTTTTTCAGGCTAAGTGCATTTTCTGTAAGTACAGAAATCTGTCCTTGTAGCTTCCTGTGAAATGTATTTATTATACGTACTTATATAGCGCCGTCAATTTACACAGCGATTTACATATATATTGTACATTCACATCAGTCCCTAACCCTCAAGGGGCGTACAATCTAAGGTCCCTAAACCTCAAGGGGTGTACAATCTAAGGTCCCTAACCCTCAAGGGGGGGTGTACAATCTAAGGTCCCTAACCCTCAAGGGTGTGTACAATCTAAGGTCCCTAACCCCCTCTAAGGGGGTGTACAATCTAAGGTCCCTAACCCTCAAGGGGTGTACAATCTAAGGTCCCTAACCCTCAAGGGGTGTACAATCTAAGGTCCCTAACCCTCAAGGGGTGTACAATCTAAGGTCCCTAACCCTCAAGGGGTGTACAATCTCAAAGGTCTAAGGTCCCTAACTCACATTCATACATACACATACTAGGGACAATTTAGACAGGAGACAATTCACCTACCAGCATGTCTTTGGCGTGTGGGAGGAAACCGTACTACCTGGAGGAAACCTATGCAGACACAGGTAGAACATGAAAACTCCAGGCAGGTGGTGCCGTGGTTGGCATTTGAACCAATGACCCTGTGCTGCCAGGCAATCGTCTCATCAGGTCAGTCAGGATAACCCCTTCCAGGCGTAGTCAGGTTCCCACGCTGGTGTCTTTGAGGACCCCTCCAATGGTATCGCGATCTCCGGACACCTCTAAACTGGTCTGTGCGAGTGGTGAGACTCGCAGACAACCAAAGAATAATGCCACATAGCGTGATACTGCATTTAATGGGGTAATTTATTCCAACAAAGATAAAAATTATACAAGGAAAGGATGAATCAGGAAACTGACCATGTGTATAAAGATGGCCGCCAACGGCGGCGGGGACGTCAGGATGCTGTAGCCCCTTACCCTGACGCGTTTCGTGCGCAGCACATAATCATAGGGTGCAGGTTTCTGTGAATGAGTGCCTACAAGTCCCGACAGCCTTAGCGGCTGTTTTCAGTGAACTACCACGGCGCTGTGGAGCACCATGGTAGTTCATTGAAGCTTCCTGTCAGAATATCTGCTTGCTTGAACATCCCGTATGGAAAGCAGATATTCTGACAGGTCTGCAGGAGACCTGCATGGCACCAGTGGTGCAATGCTTTCCAGGCTCCTGCAGACAAAAATAATAAATGCACATTTTTTTACCTGCAAAAAAATTTGCATTTGGTATTTTTGTCCAAAAGGTGAACTTATTCTTTAAAGTGTTACTAAACCCAGGACCCTGCATTCATTCTTTCTGGTTTCCTACATTACACAGAACATAGAAATGCAATTATTTTAGTAAATATAAACTGCTAAATACCTTTTCTCATCAACAGTTAGAGAAGTCTTGTGACTTCTATCAGTGTCCAGCAGAGCACTGGTAAAAGTTTGTAGGGGAAGTTTTATTTCTGCTCTAGAAGGATGCAGAACCCCTGATCTCTGTGTGGATCACATGCACTCTCCCAAAAAAAAACAGCAAAAAAAAAAAAAACCTCTCTAGCAATGCACACAAAACTGAGCATGTGCAGAGTGACTCCACATGATCTGTATTATCAGGAGATAAGAGGGGGACACTGGAAGAAGGGGAGGATCAGAGAAGTCAGGATCAAACAGTACTTTTACACAATGCAGAGGATTAACCCCTTAGGTTCCACAGTGAGTATAACAAGCATGCTTTACTGCATCTACAGACTGATTGTACTGTTGTGGGTTTAGTAACACTTTAATAGCAGCCTGTTTAAAGTGAACCCATGGCCAGACTGTAGACATAAGCGTGGAAGAAAAACCGAACACTAACTACTAAGCTAATAACCAAACTCCTAAAAACATTCCCTCCCCCTCCTCCTACCTATCCTAAATATCCTGTTTGAAAAAAGATCTGTGTACTTACCCTATGTACTTACCAGTCTGGTCACATGATACTGCAACTCCAGATCTTCTGTGTTGGTGAGAGGCTGTTGCAGGGGAGAGGAATGAGCTCCAACAACATCTAGGACTTGGGAGCCTATGGGTGACTTCATAGCTCCCAAAATTCATAGCCTTTGTTGAGTGCTCCCTTACACTGGGAAGCTGGAGCTGCAGGATCACGTAAGAAAGGTAGGTACTGTATATGGATTTTTTTTCAACCATTTGCTAACTGTGCTATAGCCAAATGACAGCTACAGCGCGGTTGTCCAGTTCTGGAGGGCGTCATATGATGTCCTCTTAGAACACACGCCCTCGGCGATCTCCGTGACAGCTGTGTCCTATGGACACAGTTGATCACGTGATGTGGTAAAAGTCCAATCACAGCGGCCTTTTACCATGTGATCAGCTGTGTCCAATGACACAGCAGATCATCTGGTAAATGCAGTTGCCGGTTATCTGCTGCACTTTCCTGTCACAGCGTGAGGAAAGGACTGCCGATAACCAGCAATTGTCAGAGGACGGATTGGCACTGATCATCAGAGAGCACTGATGATCAGTGCTCAGCAGTGCCACCCACTTGTGCCCTTCAGTGCCTAGTAGTGCCACCCACCTGTGCCCAACCGTGCCTAGTGGTGCCACTCACTTGTACCCTTCAGTGCCTTAGTGCCACCCACTTGTGCCCTTCAGTGCCTAGTAGTGCCACCCACCTGTGCCCAGCAGTGCCACCCACTTGTGCCCTTCAGTGCCTAGTAGTGCCACCCACCTGTGCCCAGCAGTGCCTATTAGTGCCACCCACCTGTGCCCAGCAGTGCCACCCACTTGTGCCCTTCAGTGCCTAGTAGTGCCACCCACCTGTGCCCTGCAGTGCCACCCACTTGTGCCCAGCAGTGCCTAGTAGTGCCACCCACCTGTGCCCAGCAGTGTCATCCATCAGTGCTTGCCAGTCAGTGCCGCCTATCAGTGCCCATCATTGTTGCATATCAGTGCTGCCTATCCGTGCCACCTCATCAGTGCCGAAAAATCAGTGCAGCCTCATCAACGCACATCAGTGAAGGAGAAAAATTACCTGTTTGCAAAATTTTGTAATAGAAACAAAGAAAAAAAACCTTTTTTTTAATTTTTTGCTTTTTTTGTTGTTGTTTATAGTGCAAAAAATATAACACAGCGGCGAGTAAATACCACCAATAAAAGCTCTATGTGTGAAAAAAATTCTAAAAATGTCATATGGGTACAATGTTGCATGACCGCACAATTGTCAGTCAAAGTGCAACAGCGCTGAAAGCTGAAAATTGGCCTGGGCAGGAAGGGTGTATAAGTGCCCTGTAGCAAGTGGTTAAGCACCGTATACAGAATATGTAGGAGGACGGGGGAGGGAACATTTTTAAGAATAGTTAGTGTCAGGCTTTTCTTAACAATCTCAACAGCCAACAAGCAATCACTGATCTCTCTGGTCATATGGAAATACAGAAACTAGTGCTGCTCACTGAAGCTACCTACCATCCTCCATTGCTAGGACCCACTCTTGCTCTCTGTTGTTAGGAAGCAGGTAGCTACTGTGACCTAGAGTCCTCAGTTGCTAGGATGCAGGCGGCTTCTGAAGGAAGTTGCCTAGAATCCTTCTGTTACTAGCATACAGACGGGTCTATGTACAGTCATGGCCGAAATTGTTGGCACCCTTGATAAAAATCAAGTATTTCACACAAAAAAGGTATTGCATTAACACATGTTTTGCTATACACATGTTTATTCCCTTTGTATGTATTGGAACAAATATAAAACAGAGGCAGAAAAGCAAATATGACATAATGTCACACAAAACCCCAAAAATGGGCTGGACAAAAGTATTGGCACCCTTAACTTAATATTTGGTTGCACACCCTTTGGAAAACATAACTGAAATCAGTCGCTTCCTATAACCATCAATAAGCTTCTGACACCTCTCACCCGGAATTTTGGACCACTCTTCCTTTGCAAACAGCTCCAGGTCTCTCTTATTGGAAGGACACCTTTTCCCAACAGCAATTTTAAGATCTCTCCACAGGTGTTCAATGGGATTTAGATCTGGGCTCATTGCTGGCCACTTCAGAACTCTCCAGCGCTTCTTTGCCATCCATTTCTGAGTGCTTTTTGACGTATGTTTGGGGTCATTGTCCTGCTGGAAGACCCAGGATCTTGGACGCAAACCCAGCTTTCTGACACTGGGCCCTACAGTGCGACCCAAAATCCTTTGGTAATCCTCAGATTTCATGATGCCTTGCACACAGTCAAGGCACCCAGTGCCAGAGGCAGCAAAACAACCCCAAAACATCATTGAACCTCCACCATATTTTACCGTAGGTACTGTGTTTTGTTCTTTGTAGGCCTCATTCCGTTTTCGGTAAACAGTAGAATGATGTGCTTTACCGAAAAGCTCTATCTTGGTCTCATCTGTCCACAAGACGTTTTCCCAGAAGGCTTTTGGCTTACTCAAGTACATTTTGGCAAACTGTAGTCTTGCTTTTTTATGTCTCTGTGTCAGCAGTGGGGTCCTCCTGGGTCTCCTGCCATAGCGTTTCATTTCATTTAAATGTCGACGGATAGTTCGCGCTGACACTGATGCTCCCTGAGCCTGCAGGACAGCTTGAATGTCTTTGGAACATGTTTGGGGCTGCTTATC